TATATATATATATATATCTTTCAATCGTTAGAGATGATCAGCAGAGAAACTCAAACTCATTTCATTATGTGGAACTTTGGTGTGATACACTTAAATTGGTGGAAACCTGCCTAAATACTTCACACAGCCCCTCCATCACCCTCTATTATGCAAGCTGCAGCATTTCAAGCCAACTCCCTTATTTCACTAGTGAGCCCTGTCAACACTGAAGTAATAGAAATGGAAAAACTCATCACTCCACAATGATACTCAAATATCAGAATATATTTCATTTGGTAAAAATTATATCATTGCTAAATAAAACTAATGCGAATATAGTAAAATATGCAAGATTTTGAGGAATTCTTTTGTTGAAAAAGACTCCTGAGGAGCCTCAAATTCATCCTGCAATTGCTTAGGCCTTCTTTTGCTCCTTTGACCCCTTCATGCCCCATCTCTTAAGCATATGGGGCGGAGGGGGCTACAGAAGGCCAGAATGAGCTAATCAGCATGCATTTATGCAGTTAGTCTACTCTAGTTTTATTCCCACAGGTTTTGCCTCATACTCTGCTCCTCTAGGAAGAGTGCTATGTTTTATTCATCTCTGAACTCCCAAAACCTAACCGAATGTCCTGCATATAGTCGTCTCTACCATCAACTACATGGCAAGCATTGGTTTAGGGACTAGAGATAGAGAAGTAAAAGACATAGAGACCTCACCTTCTTGGAACCTCATGGAAGGAGTATATTAAATATTGGCTGCATGAACAGAATCAAGTAATGAAAGACCAGTTAGCACAGCCCCATTGTCTACGTTCTTTTCTCCCATTGCCAACCAAGGCTTAGATGAGGAACAAAAGCAGGATTTCTCTTCAGAAATATGTGTGTCTGTCTCCAGCCCTGACCATTCTCCTTAGTTCTATATTCATATATCTAACTGCCAATTCAGCACGTCAACTCAGAGGTAGTTTCAGGGATTAACTGCATGAACTCTGAAGCCAGACTGGGTTTGAATCCCAGCTTCATCACTCACAAACTGAGTGCCTTTCGGCAAGTCGCTTTTAACGTCTGTGCCTGTCTTCTCATTCATAAAATGGAGGCTATAATGGTTCCTAGAGCATATGACTGTTGTAAGAATTAAATGAATTAATATATAAAAGTGCTTAAACCCCAGTCCACAGTTTATGCTTACATAGCGCTTACTATTATTACTAGCAGCAGTACTACTAGTGTTACTAAATCTATCAGGCATCTAAAACTTGTCCAAAATGGAATTCATAATTTTCTTCTCAAACCACTTTCTCTCTTCTCCAAAAACAGTACCACTACTCGCCCACCCAGTCGTTCCAGACTCGAACCTAAGAATTTTAGGTTTTATGTGAACCTACATTAGTAAATCCACAGCAGCAGCTCTACCTTCAAAAGTATATCACGAATTCGACTGCGTACTTCAATCTCTGAAACCACCTCCCCTAGCCAAAGACACCACCAGGTAATAGTCTCCTACCATCCCATCTTCAATACTCCCCATTCCATGACTACAGTTAATTCTCCATCCAATAAAACTAAAATCAGATGCTATTCCCTTGGTGTAAACCTTCCAATGGTTTCCCACCACACTCACAATAACATCTTTACCACAGCCTACAAGGGCCCCCATAGTCTGCCCGGCCTCTGACACCATCTGCCACTACTTTCCCCCTTCCTTGTTATGTTCACAACACTCTCACCTTGCTATGCCTTAGCTACCTCAGTTTGGATTCCACCTCAGAGCAGTACAAGTACTGTTGTTTGGAGTATGAACTCTGAAGTTGGATAGCCCAAATTCAAATACTGTCTAGCACATTTTAACTGTGCAAGCTGTGCAACCTTGAGCAAATTCTTAATCTTTCCATGTCAGTTTCATCTATAAAAATGGAAATGAGTACTTATATGACTGTTGTCGAAATTTAATTTTGTGTTTAGAAAAGTGCCTCACATGTAAGCTCTACATTAAGTGTTTACTGCTATTATTATTCCTCCCTGAAATGTTCTTACCTCAGGCTCTTCCTCCACTTCAACTGATTCAACTATCACCTCCTTTGAAAGACTTTCCCTGGCAAACCCTATCTACAACGATCTGCCCTATTCTCCTAGTCTTTTATTCTTTCTTTACTTCACTGTACTTATCACTATTTGAAATAATAATATTATATACTTATATACTTGTTGCCTATTTCCACACTGGAACATGAGTTCCACTAGGTTGGAGATTGTCCTGTTTGCTGCTCTAGTTCTTGTTCTGACTCAGAAAGTGGCTTTTAATGCTCACATCTCTATTTCTCTTATCCAGGCTAGGGGACCAATGCAAATTCCTTAACAATACCATACTTAGCCTTTCGTTTTCACACTTGTGATCTCACTAGATCTTTGGAAAAGCAACCACAGATATGCCATCATCTCCCATTTTAGAGAGAAAAAGAAAACACCAAGTTTGGGTGACTTGTCTTCGGACACAAAGCTAGTAATTGATAAAACAAAAATTAGAACCCCTGCTTTCTAAAAGAAGGGCTCTTCAAACTCAGATGGAAGAATATTACACCCTTGAACTGAACCTACAGAACTATGATCATATAATCTCTTGAATACACACTGAGATATGTACAATATTCTTCCCTTCTGAGTTCTTGAGAAATACTTGTCCCTAAATTTTATAAGTATTATAGTATAATACTAAGTCATCAATAATGTATTAACCCTTGGCAAGCTAGAAAAGTCAAGCAGTCAGACATGATCAACTATTCTAAGTCGACACAGCAAAATCCCTAAAACTCACAGTGTATCTGTATCGAGTATAAATGTACTAGTTCCAGCATGCTTTAAAAGCTTTCTCTGCAAAACCCAGACAAGGAGGACATCGTAATTGTCGAGATCATTGTGATCATGATACCAGTTTTTTCTTGATCCTTGGTCCAAGTTCAGTGACAATAGTTCAGACCGCCCATCAGGCTCGTGTAGTCCATGATCAGATGGTGGGTGGGGGAATACTGAGGAAGCATGATTGTTAAAGAGGTCCCTACCTACGAGACCTTTGTGAAATGGTCATTGGACACCACATTCTCAGTATAACCGATTGTTTTTATAAGCTTTCTCTTACCAAGTTTACACTTTTGTGTTACCGTATGTGCTCTCACAATTCCCAGTCCTGTGGGAATGACAATTAGGGAGGCCAGAGGCTGCCTTACCGTCATTTTACACAAAAAGGAAAGTGAGGCAACAAGTGGTTATCTTTAAACTTGACCTCAATTATTTGGTCACTTGCAGGATCCCAAAGGAAGCCTGAGGGCAGTCAAATTCCTTTCATCAAGGAAGGAACATAAAGGGCTCTCCCATTTGTACCTTTCCCCCTTCCCTGGCCTCGCCTGAAGGCTCCTACAGCCCTCTTGGCCCCAAGGTAAAAGGTGCGGGCCCTGCCCCCGCGGGGCGCGGC